AACAAAGACTTTACTTTAAACAGTAAGCCGGACAGCGACAACCGAGTACTGAGACTGATGAATGACACAAGGCACTGGAGTCGACTGACCACGATGGTCAGGTCTATTGGGTTTTTATAATAATTACACCTATTGCCGATTTGGCAATAAATATTATTTGTTAATTCATCAGTCTCAGAAAGCGGATGTGCTGTCTGTATTTTATTAAAATAATTCTCACAATAATGGTAACGTGACACCATCACAATATAGATATAATATTGATGATTCGCGCGCATGTACGGGTACGAAAACCAAAAATAAAATTATACAGGAATAGTGTTGATGGCCTAGGAACACCTAGGTATGAGGTGCAGACGAAGTGCAAGACACAAATACTTGGGGTATAGGAGAGGACAATGAAGTACGAGGTGCAGACGAAGTGCAAGACACAAGTACTCTAAAGAGAGAACGGGGTAGCCGAGTATAAGGTGCAGACGAAGTGCAAGACACAAGTACTCTGAAATGTCGAGGAAAAGAGTATATAGGTTAGAAAAGGAATAAACAAAGACTTTACTTTAAACAGTAAGCCGGACAGCGACAACCGAGTACTGAGACTGATGAATGACACAAGGCACTGGAGTCGACTGACCACGATGGTCAGGTCTATTGGGTTTTTATAATAATTACACCTATTGCCGATTTGGCAATAAATATTATTTGTTAATTCACCAGTCTCAGGCAGCGGATGTGCTGTCTGTATTTTATTAAAATAATTCTCACGATTATGAAAACGTGACACCATCACATCCACTCATGTCTTTTTGGTGCCACGTCCCCGTGGTAATGAACAATTCAAATGAACAAATAAAAGAATATTTTATGAGAATAAACAAAATAATTTAACTTAACTAATTTAATTTACATTTTAATTTTCTATATATTTTTTTGATCCGCTTACTTTCCTACATTTGGTGTATGATTTGATTGTGGAACGATATTGTTCTTTTTGCTTTTCTTTTGTAGTCCTTGATGTTTTGATTAATGATCAGGCTGTATAGATTGTTTTTAATCTTGCTTTGTTTTCAGGGGGGATTTGTTTGGAATAAGGCTTGTTGGGTAGTAGAAAGTTTTTGCAGNGCTTGTTGGGTAGTAGGAAGTTTTTGCAGGGCTTGAAGTTTTATTATGTTACTTCTGATTTCGGTTCAATAATATTGTTTAATGACTTCTGACCAATCATATTTGACGTAACTTTGTAAATATAATCGTCGGGCTTTTTATTTCTTCCGCTTGAATCAATTGTGTAAATGCTATCGCTGTTATGCCCATGCACAATAGTCTCAACGCTGTGGTTTTTATCATCATTGTCTCTATTGTAGTACGGTTTTAGTCGTCTAATGTGTATGGTATCCTTCACGACATTTTTATTTAGGATTAGTTCTACTTCATAATTTACGTCATTTATTTTATTAATTATTTTAAATGGACCACGATATTGGTGGCCTAATTTTGCACATTGGTTTTTTATTATAAAAGGAAATTTGACTAAGACTAATTGACCTGGTTTGTATTCTATGTGTTTGTGTGATAAATCGTAGTTGATTTTCTGTGTTTTTTGAGCTTTTGCTATTATGTCTGGTAGTTTCATTCTAACATTATGTAAGTCTTCCAGAGCTTTCTTTAGGTCATGTGATAGAGGCTGAAGGATTATTTTGTTGTCTATAGGCTGTGCAGCATGAAATCCATGCATTAAATAGAATGGCGAAAATCCAGTTGTAGATTGCGGTGTTGTGTTGTAGCTAAAAGTGACAGCTGGTAAATAGTGTGACTATCTATTCTGATTGTTGTCTTTCATATAATGTCGTAAAGCTGTACATAGCGTCTCATTTGTTCGTTCTACAAATCCTTGAGAATGAGGCGAGTAGGTNAATCCTTGAGATTGAGGCGAGTAGGCTGAGCTGAACTTCTGTTTGATGCCTAAGTTGTCACAAACTTGTGCCAGTTCCTTATTTTTAAAGTGAGTTCCCCGGTCACTTGTTATAGATCGAGGGCAGCCCCATTTGAAAATTAATTCGAAAAGGAATTTTATGACAGACTCGCCGTCTGCAGAGCGAACTGCTTTGGTGAAAATATACTTGGTCGTGTTGCAAGCTGCTACTATTACGTGTTTCTTTCCATTACTATTGCATAGTGGCCCGAGAAAGTCAATAGTTACTCTAGATAACGGAGTTCCATCTATGACTGGGATAGGCTGTAATAATCCTGTAGGTTTCCCTGTGGCTCTCTTGTTGATTTGACATGAATGGCATGATTTGATATAGGCTGCCGTGTCTTTCGAAAGAGAAGGCCAATAATATTTTTGCTGTAGCTTATGTATAGTCCGTGATATACCTGCGTGTCCTGACGTTGGACTTTCGTGGTATGCATTGAATATTCTAGTAGTAACTTCCTTGGGTACTACCAGTAAGTTATAGTTGCCTAAATTTTGATTATATGATTTAAAGTATAATACGTTACATATTATGGCGAATTTCCGTGATAGTCTATTTGTTTTCTTATCTGATTCTTTGCCTTCTAAAGCGTTTCGAATTGATAAGCAAAAAGGGTCTTTTTATTGCTTTTCTGCAATAGAAAATTCTTTCTCTTCTGTGGCTGATAACTCTTGAATGTTGCCAATACATTGAACTTGAACATTCGGTTCGTGACCACTCTAATATCCGAATATAGCCGAGTCTATTATGTGTTCTAACGAGTATCTGGATAGTGCATCCGCCACTACATTATCTCGCCCTCTAGTAAATACTATTTTGAAGTCGTAATCCCAAAGTTTGATAATTAAGCGGGATATGCGGGCTGACGGATTTTTTAAGCTGCGGTAATATTTTAAGCTAATGTTATCACTATATACCGTAAAATGTCTGGCGTAAAGGTACTCTCTGAAGAATTCGATAGCAAAGGTCAGACCTAGAAGTTCTAACGTAGTAGAGCTGTAGGTTTTTTCTGATTCTAACAGCTTACGAGAGGCATAACCTATGACTCTTGAAATGTTGTTTTCGTCTGTCTGTTCTAGCACTCCACCTAGCCCTCGAATACTTGCGTCAACGGTCAAGCTCGTTGGTCTATCATCGTTAAAGTGTGCTAGAATAGG